TATATTGTTTTTATAACACTTCCTCTGATTGGTTATGGTATATTCCTAATTTCGTCCAATCATATTGCTGTTCTCAGGTACTCAGATTACTTTCACTAATATAGACAGTATTCTCATACATGTATACAGGTATTTTGATCAAGAGTTGGAAAAAGTACACAGGTTTTTTTGAGTCACGATATTCTGGTAGTGGCGGTAAATTCAATTAAGAAATAAATTTTCAGTCAATTTATTATAATTTTGTTTACTGTGATTTATATCATTGTCATGGCAACCAGTGGTTTGTAATTTTTATACAGTATACATGTATGTCAGTAAAAAAATTATTTTAAATTTTATACAGTGTTTTTTTATGTGCAGGCGAGAAGGAGAAAATAATTTGATTTGTATGCAATTTGTATCTTTTGTATCACTTAAGTGAAAACAAGTCAGTCAACAGTATCTAACAGTACTTATTTCTAGATGTGTGTTTTGCAATTATGTTCAAAAGCATTTCGATTCTCACATAGAAGTGTCCGGAAACTATACAGTGTATTTGGGAACTGTATTTCTTGAGATGCTTTTTAAATTCTAGATTTTTACCGTTACTGTTTTCAAATTTTATCTGTGAACATACAGTTTGTGATCTATTCAAAATATTTGTTGTCAAATTGTCAATACAAGGAACATAACATCCGCTGAATTGTAAATTGTTGATTATACATCTAAACAGTTAGAAATTAACTTGGAGTGAATTACATTAGTAAAGTACATACATGAGTATTACATATAATTTATTATACTGTAGTATTGATTTCATTTATATTCATAAAATATGCTTTAATTAATAATAATTGACAAGATTAGCGCCTTAAATTTTGTTCTCAAGTCCTGCTTAGAATTGTAAATACTTTTATTTATTTGAATTTCTCCTGTTTTATATTTGAAAGTTAATAAATAATTACTATGCAAACATTTTTCTGTATATTTTGGTTGTACTGAGAAAGTTTTACCTTCTTTTTTTACACATCTGCTTGGTTTACCCAGATATATTATACATTGCATTTAGTGGATTTTAATAATTATTCTGAATATTTTCACCAAGATTAGTCTCCAGTTATTGTATTTTCTGAAGCCTGAACTTATTGTAGTCCTGCTCAATAACCTAAATTTTATTAGTTGTTTGTTTTTCTCCCAGGCTGGGAGGTAAGTTATGCCAAGTTTTTTTTTGTTTTGTTTTTTCAGTTCACATGAAACTCAGTGTATTATTTTTTTATTGTAATAAAGTAAGTTTTAATTATGTTTTAAACTTGTCTGTCCTCTGTGTCTTTTTGTGAAATTTCACGTTCTATATGCCATTGTGAGTCTCACATCGAACAGAACCCGGATGGCCACCTTCCTATAACTCGTAGTGTGACACACTGTGTATTTTGTTATTTTCATATAGATGTAATTAAATTGCCCCTATAAACATTCTTGGTTATTTTTAACTTTTTACTTGTGGTTAACTTATCACAAACCTTACAGAAAATGAACCTGAGAATGAGAGGTTAACAATTGACAGATTGTCTCATAACTATTTGATAACTTTTATGATAATAGTTGTATTGAGATATATATAATGGTAACTGAGATATATATAATGGTAACTGCTAGAATTATGATTGCAGATACTGTATTGAACGCCACAGCAGTCAACTTGCTAAAATGATGATAAATCTGATATTATTCATTAAACTC